ATTGTATTCATTTGCGTGCAATTCCGTTGGAGTACTATTTTTATTGTAAATCAGTTAATTCGTGATTTATTGGTACGATGTATTCAAGCATAGTCCTACAAATGGTCAAATCCGATGTCATCTGTTCTCACTTGTCCCATAACATCGTGTGAAACACTAGGCTAAACCCCTAAATTCAATTATACCATACAAACATGAATACTCCTCAACTTATTATCAATCGAAAAGAAACACTATTCTCCTATGAATATTTACGTACAGTAAATACACAATTCTTTACAAAGGTATTGTCATCAGCAAAACTGCTCTTGTTAACCAAGTCGCAAAACGAATCACGAAACAATAGTTCAATCATTGAGTTTTAACATTTTCAGAATTCAAAAACATCTAATGATATCTCCGAATTACCCCAAAAATTCGTTAGAAAAACAACAATCATTCCGGCGGTTTCAATAGAAACCACAAGCACAAGCCACGACCGTGATCCATTTGCCGTCGCAACCCTCGCGCGATCGCGCGCGTAAGAGCAGTTTGCGTAATAGCCATCGCTATCGAAGCAGAAGAAGAGAGTGGGGACCAGAATTGCGAAACGAGCGTACGTCCCTAACTCTCGGGTGTCTCTGTCCGGCCGTGTCCCCCCGGCCGCTCTGCCCCGGACCCCCTGACGCACTTTATAACCGCGCGTTGACATAAATCAGCCGGAGCGCGTATAACCGTCCGGCTGGGCTCTTCCTCGACGCGTATCGCCGAGAGAGAAAGACAGAAGAGGCTTGGGCGATTTCCTCGACGCAAAGGATGATCGTGATCGTGTGCATGTCCGCGTCACCGATCGCAATAAAATCGATCCGGCTTCGATCGACTGCCAACACAGGATCCAGTACCCGGTTTTAATTGAGCCGCGCACTCTCCGAACGAGAAAGGGCGAGGGAACCGGCCCCCGAGAGCAAGAGATGCACGAGACGCGATGCTTCGCTCCGTTCGCGCTCGCGCGCTGGCGATCGCCTAGCCCGGGTCGAATAGGATCGACCGATACAACTCCATAAAACCGTGGAATTCGTGCTCGCCGGAAGGCAAAGGAGAAGAAGAAGGAGGAGGAAAAAAAACAGACGATTTAATCGTTTAAGCGCACGGTATCAAGATCGTGGTCGTGTTCCCTCGCCTTAACCGTTCCCTATCTTTGGTATTCAATTTAGAGGGTAATACGAGAAATAGAAGCGTGCGCGTACGCCTAGGGAAAGACAGGGGAACGGGAAGATCGGAGGGAGAGGAGAGAATCCAACTCCTTTCTCCTATCCGTGCTGTTTAATCCTCCATCTCCGTCGCGCCGTTACCGATTAATCTATGGGCGTGCGGTTAATCGTTTAACCGGCGCTCGATAGAGCAGTTTCTAATTAGCGGGAACGGAATGGAGGAGGCGTGATCAGATCGGAGTCGACGAGGGAAATCTGTAGGCCTCGAGGTCGTCCTCCGGCGAAGGGACGAGGCTCGACCGCTCGTGTGTTGCACAAGCGGAGGAAACGTTCACCCATGGGAACGGGGCCGAAGGGAGGAGAAGGATGGAGGAAGACACAGGTGGAGGAGATGGTGGCTCGTGCTCGGGCTCGCGGAAGAAGAAGAGAAACACGATGACCGGGGATGGAGCAGCCGAGAAACCGGGATGCTGCAAATTGAACCATTACGACTAGGTAGTAGTGGGTACGCGACCGAATCGACTGCAAGCGAGAGAGGATAGTCCTGGGGAGAGGATAGTTACAGCCTCGTCCCAACAGCTGGCAGGGTTCTCCGGAAAATAAGCGACCCGGTAAAAACGCGGCTTCCTCCGACGGGAGGAAGATCGAAAGAACAAGTCCGGGGAGGAGGGAAAAGAGACTGAAAAGCGAGACACGATGGAAAAGGGTGTAGCCTGGCCAGAGGTCTCGGGCTAGTGTTGCAAATTGAACCATTATAACTAACTGCACGAGCAAATCATTTCGAGAGCGTCGTTCTACGTAGGAAATAGTTACGAGCTTGTAAATACCACTCCAGCCTCTCTCGAGCTCCTTTTCCAACCAGGAAAAAGGAACGACGAAAAATCGTTCAACGAAGGATTACGGCCTAGGTAAGACGAATAAATTTCGAAGAGTCGGATAATAACTAGGCCCCGTACCGCCCTGATGCGGCGTTTATATGGGAGAGGGACACGGCGGCGCGCGTGTAAAAACGAGGAAAAATCCGCCGCGGTACAGGCAATAACGTCAAACAATCGATGGATAAACTCGTCGGGATGAGTCTCGTTCGACGATTCCTCGTAACGCTCGGATTGCGGAATAGTTACGACCTCGTCCCGCGGCCGCGCCGCCTGTATAAGGAACAACCAGAACGACGCGCTCTCTCGGCCGCGGACGGCCATTAGGGGCACGTGATCGAGATACGTCTTTTACGCTTTTCGATTTTCACCTGGTTTGCGTCTCCCGCGGTCCCGTCGTAGTGCATCACGTTGGGGTGCCCAGGCAAAGAACGCCGCGCGCCCCTTGAAGAAAGCATCACCCCCCTGGAGCAGAAACGAGGTAATTGCGAACAATTTAATGGCGGTCTCGTTAAACGAAAACCGCCCGGAGAAAGACCGGAATAAAACGCGATCGCTGCGAACCGGTACGCGCAGAGAGAGCATCGGCTTAAACGCTGGCCCCGGCTCGAACGCGACCGCGACATAACGTGTTGGTCATTTGTACCGATGGACCGACCGTAAAGTTCACGAGTGAAAACTTGTCTAGATGCTCCCAGATACAAATAAGGTAGCCTTCTTTCGTTGTGTATTGCCGTGTTGGAGGAATTCATCGTTGAATTTATTTGACTCTATGGAGACCGAAGTGTTCTTCGCTGTTTATATTGCAATCTGCGCCAACGTTACGCAATGCGAGTTATGAATAAAATTGAGTGTCGAATCTATTTCGCAAAATTTAATCCTTATGTCAGCAACCAACATGTTTGCGTTTGTTCGAACTTCAGAAGTACAATACAATATTCTTGTATAAACTATTAACCTCCACAGTACAAATATGTGTAGACGAAAACATCGAAATGGGAACCATTGCTAACAGAAGTCACTCATTTACCAATGTAATTCACAAAAGTATAACAATTTAATTAAATCGCACTCAACAAATACCACCTACGTCTTTGAATATTAAAAGGGAAGTTGGGTATTTTGTCCAACCAAAAGTTCATATAAGAAACCCCCAGGTGCACAAACCGCAAGAAAGAAGACGCTCAAGGGAAATAAAAGTCGAATCGATTATCTCGAAGGCGTGACGTCTTGCGCTGGCCCCTTGTGAGCCCACTTGTTCAGGCATCGTTGCGCGAGACGCTGATAGAGCGGACCGTGTCAGAGCTCACGGACGGATACCCATCGATGAAGAAGGTGGAAAAGTCTGCTTGGCCGGCCGGTCGCCTGGCTTTAACGGGAAAAGGCTCGCGCGCGCGCGCGCGCGCGCGACCGAGGGGCGAACCGGCGTGGAAGACGGAAGGTCGGCAGCGGAGGAGCGAGCGAAAGAAGGTGGGGTCGCCATGGTTGTGGTCCGCCTGGGAACGACAGGACCACGCATTGTGATCCGAGCACCGAGGAGGCCACGCTACGCTGACCCCACGCTTTACATTAACCATCCACCGTGCACACACGCACGTAAACGGCCCGCCAACCCCTCGCTTAAGTTGTACCTGTTGCGTCGACTAATCATTGCTCCCGCGTACCTTTTCTTTTGTTTCCCCCTTTCCCTTGCCCCTCGCCGGGGACCCAGTGTCTCGTCCGTTCCCGGGACAAGGTTACGCAACGGGCACCGCGAAAACTTTCTTGCCCCGTGGTAAACAGAGTGGAACGTGGAATGCGGCTAGAATGGTTCCTCCTACGCCGAAATGGCGCACCCTGATCAGGGACATCACAGTTGCCTAACGAATTCCGCGTGAAAAAGGGGCGATCTTGTCTATCTTTCCGATTCTGTTAAAAGGATACCAGCTTTGGAAGTGATGATCGCGAAATCAAACAGATTATGGTAACTAATGAATTTTGTGGGAAAGTAAATTTTCTTTGGTGATAGTTTCAGCCTCTGGACGATGATGTCGCGATGTTGGCGATATCAAACTTTCATATTGAAAACCGAAAGCTGACGTGTAGTTTAGAGTACTTATCATTGTCCGGAAAGATCGGTTTCATTAAAAGCTTGTACACTAGTACTAGAAATGTTATACTAGCAAAATGTATAGATCGTTTCAGAACTACATTTCAAAACATAACAGTATCATAAATGATCTCTAGTGTTCTCCAAATAATTCACAGTTGCTTTAAACTTATTAAAGATAGCAATTAGACCGTCCAACCGTCTACATTCGTAAAAGTGTATAAAATTATATAAAAAAGGTGCACTTTTCGAAATAAAAATATCGCAAGAATAATTAGCTTGCCATTAAAAGAACCGAACAGCAAAAGCAACTCGTCTTTTATTGTAATGCGTGCACGAAGTAGTGAATTTATTTAACGATTTCCTGTAGGGGCACCTTTATGATTTCAATAATTGTAAAATAAAATATCGAAAAACGAGCCATTCTTACTCGTCTGAAGGCTGCAGTATTAAATACGTATATGTTAAAAGTATTCTCTTCATTCCTGCGGATTATACTCGAGAATCAAGTTTTGAATTATAGTTCTGAAGCGTCACTTCTCTGGAGAGAAGTATCGTTAAATGGAACAGACTTAACTCCTTGTCCTATGAGTCCTACGATTGTACTTCATGACACTAAGTTACAGTTAATAACTTAGTAGAAAAAGAAAAGAATTTGATGCTTATTCTGTGTCTACGTTTGCACAAAAGATTAAAGATCGATAATATACAAATAATATTCCATTTATATGAATAATAAATAAATAACATTTAGATTTGTTGAATTCACTAGAAAATTTTCATCGCGAATCTGACCCGATGTAGGAGAAGGAGTTAAAAATGGAGAGAAAATCAAAAGGGACTTACCTTCAGGACACTTGCATTCGTAGTCCAATTCGTTAATTTCGCGACACGTGCCTCCATTTTTGCACGGCGACGGGGTGCACGGAATATACTCGTTCTCGCAGTTCTGGCCAGTATATCCGCTCGAGCACATGCATCTGCAAAGGAAACAACTCGTTAAAATTATCGGCACCGAACGTACATATACACGAAGCAGATCGATTAAATGATCTGATGAAATCGCGATCGGCCGAGGCGATAAATAAATAGTTAATGTTCGCGTATTCCGCGCGATCGAGTCACCGGTCGCTAATTACAGAGTGCCATCCCTGATGATTGCGAGTATGAAACCAGTAACAACCTCCTTGAGCTGTCGAGAAAATGTACTCTAATAATTTTACATTCTGTAATCTTGGTGCATCCGAGATGACATTCATAACAATGGAAATTTATGACTCGAAATTTTGGCGGTGATTTTATGGTTGGAAATTCTTTCCGATGGGAATATCAACGATAGATATATAATAGATGACTTGCGATAAGAAAATTTTCTGTATCATTGATAAAGTTTAATGTTGGATATATATATTTAAAAATGATTGTTTGCTAAACAGTAAACAATCGGAAACTGAAACAAAGAGTTAAAAGTAATCATGTGTTACAAATTTCTTACCTAATGAAAAGTTAACTGAACTGAAACTATGATAGTAACCTAATATGTCAAATATATTCGATGCACAATTTTTCTCTTTAGAGCGAAAAACAGTTTAAAAGAATCGACCAGATTGAATATTGTGACGAAATATTAATGATCGTATTCATTGAAGGCTTTCCGTCAAAATTTGAAATTTGAAATATTCCATGAATCAATAATATTCGTTTGATATACTAATATTTTTATAATAAAATTGAAACAAGTTCCAAATCGACACAATCGAAATTTCTGAATAAAACAATTGTTTCAAGATAATACTATCTCATAAAATTTGTTTCAAACGTCATCTTGATAGATTCAACATTTTTGTTCTAGACACAAGCATTCCACCGATTAAAATTAATCACCCCTCTTTATAATTCCGTAAGATAGAAGCAGATGAAACATTAAATTTCATGAGTTAGAACAATGTTCACGTATAATGAGAGAAAATGGTTAGCTATATGAATTACTCCGCGGTAATTCTACACTCATGCCTGGAAACAATTTGAATTACCCGGCGTTATTTTAAAATTACAAAAAAAACACGTTCGCGTAACAAATGAATAATGGGGAACGCGATACATTTTAATCAATTTCTCACAGTTCTGCTGTTCCTTGACTGTCATCAAGGACCAACACGAGACCAACGAACGACGGTATCCATTCAAACGATCAATATTTATAATACCGGTTTCTTGTATACCGTCGTCTTTTTATGCCTAGCGGAACATTTTTTACACGCATACTTTCGCGCGGCAATTAAAGAGAGAAAAAATATTATATCAACATTCTGAGTGATTTGTAAAGAAAAAGATATACTGAACTAAACAAGATTCAATAATACACGCATTAAAAAAACAGAACAATAGTACAATTAAAACCGTTCCCTGTGTACGATATTCGTATGTTGAAAAATGGCGGGACAATTTTTTTTATATGACGCACCTCGAGCTCGCTGCCAGAAGGAGTACCAAGAACACACGCGTGAGATACATTTTCGCTCGATATCGATTCCCTCGGCTTGCAAAAAGGCGCTCTCCTCATATTTCGACAGGAACACGCGGGGTATTTACTCCATTTCCGAGAATCACCATTATTAACAACTTCAGATCAACTTTTTATATACTCTATATATCAATATAAATTTCCTTTTTTTCCGTTAACGATCACGAGAAAAATAAACCACATCCACCGTACACCTCACACTGATGCTCACACGGTAATCCTAAAGAGATGCACAAGTTCACACGTTAATAAATTGCACACTAGTTTCGTATCACAAAAAAATGAACCGGGAACAGTTCGTTGAGCAGTGTGTATCCGACCATCGATAACGAAGACAGGGAAAAAAAGAGCACACAGTTCCAACGGGGAAAACTTCAACGCGAGAAATGGCGGCTTCTGTTCAGGCACTGTCCGTTCCAGCCGGTATCAAGATTTATCACCGGTCCGATTCTGACACCAGCGTATAGGGTTTCGTTGGCTGGCACGCGTAGGCGATCTTCGATACCTCCATCGTCAAACTTCTCCCTTGATCGTGCTGGATGTTTCGCGGCGAAGCATTCGACAGTTCGACGATCGAATCAAGTCCCGTTCTCAAACTGGAGTAATGGTCGATCGGTTTCACAAATTCCACGATCGACCGTGAAAGATCAGTCTCCAAAATTTCACCGTGCTGTCCCGACCATATAACCAACCGTTGATAAACAAACTATACGAGAAGCGGCCAACAAAATAAACTATACGTCAACGTTCGAACGGGGGGAAAAGGCGAACACCGTGTACGGTACACGGAGAACAGCCACGAGTGTAGCGAGGCCGCGTGAGCGTGTGTATCTCAGCCGTCCCTCGCTGCCGAGAGAAACGTACCCGGTCTTTTTCTCACGCTCGCTCGCGTCACTTTTCGTCGAGGCGCACGGTGTCTCGCTTCGACCACGGAATCGCCGGCACACGCGTAGCTGGAATCTCCGCAAAAATCGTGCTAGCCTCGATATCCAATCCGATGATTCGCGTGACAATGGGTCGAGCGTGCTTCAGCCTCTCTTAAACTCGCTCAAATAGCCTCTATCCTGTGTTACGACGGATCATGGACGAGATACCCATGACGGGAGGTACAGCAGACGTTGCCAAACCTCGGAACTGCTTCAGCATCAGACTTCTGTCAACATCCGAACTTTCGAACACATCTCCCCTGTTAATTAACGATCCCTTGACCCGCTTCCTTCGAAGTAACAATTTCACCCACGACCGTTTCTTCCAGCACTAGAATATCCAAGTTGTCTGAGGTGTAACGAAACACGCTGTTGAGCTTGCCGGTCTTTCGGAGCACAGCACGCCACTCGGTTAACTTCGCGGGGACCGAAAACGGAGTAACGGGAATCGTAACGTAGTGTCTGCCGCCGCGGTTGATCCCGGAACACTGTTGTACACTGTTGATTGTCACCTCGCGTTGCCACCTGTTTTCGCGCGTATTTTCCACAGTCGACGGCGGACTGAAGGGGGTGAGATGCGGCAGAGACGCGAACAGAACGTGTATCGTCCTCGGACGACTGGCGACTGACTAACCTTACCTTCTGGCTTGGGCCGCTCAGGGGGCGCCACCATCACCGGTGACCCTCTCCGCTTGGCGTCACATTCGATTCCCCCCCATCGCGGGCACCGTCATGACTCCGTTCTCTCTTTCCTTCTCGCTAGAGGCCCGGCCACTCGGTCGATCTCTCTCGCACCCGCGCTCGTTAACCAAAGTCCCCTCGGCTCGTTCCGTCACCCTTCGTTGGTCTTCGACCACGTATCGCGTTATCCCGCTTTAGCGGCCGCGACACCCGTAACCCTGTCTCTCTCGCGGCTACCACCTAGGGTCCTAGGTCGTAGAAACGATGCGGAATCATTGCGTGCATCTCGGGTCCCTGCCCCTGCTCTCTCCCCCCTCCTACCGGCCGTCGACGATACTATGTAAGAATTTTACTAATTCGATAGTTACACGATATTTCTCGCGTGTATCATAGTCCGACGCCGCGCCACGAAATTTGTTACGTGCTTCACGCATTCTGATCCCGATACGCTGAGTTGTTCGGGTTCGGGCACGGCAAAGGGTTCGGGAAAAATGTATTCGTGTTAAGAAGAATGGCGTGTGATTTTTCGTGAAATCGCGAGTGTGTGTTCGCTATTTATGGAGGAATATTGTTTTATAACACCCATGACCGGAATTGTTTAGAGTAAGATGGGAAATGATATTTCATTGAGGGGACAGATTGAACTAGGGATGGTTATTAAACTAGTTTAAATATTTTTCATCTTTTACAGTATCCTATGTTCAAATAGTTTATTAAGAACTGGAATGTAACAAAAGGAACAGTATTATTCAAATATACTCATAAAAATTAATACCGTTACACCTTCTCACCCGGAGCATGCATAAACATCAATAAAATAGGTCGGCGTAGACACTTGTACGACGGGGCGTCCAGGCAAATTGAAAAAACTCCCGAAGAAAAAGAGAAGGAAACAGGACCGAGAAGTTTACCACTTCTCGGAAATCGTATTCCATTTAATCACCGTCGATTATTATCATGGGAGCCAGCTCGTGAGACTCGTGTAAATTTGCACGGGTCCCGAAGAAATCTCGCTAATCCGTTCATATGAATATTTATGCGCGGTCCGAGCAAACAGACCTGGGGCGAAAGCGTGCCGGAGGCACGAAGATTCCGATTAAACGGTGTTGACCGGCACGCCTAAGCGAACTGAACAACAGGGGACCGATGGTGGGCAATTTTCAAATTTAATTTTCACTTGTTTACTCGCATTGTGTGAAAACGACGGTATGGCTTGCGGGCATCCTCCGCCAGACCCGTCGATGGGGTTTCCAACTAGGGGATGATCCGGATTCCCATTTCCCTCCCCCTCCGCGAGCCGGGATAACACCGGCCAGACGAGGAGCAACCGAGGCCCTCGAGTTTCCTGACCCAACCCACGTTACGAATCTCCCTCCGGTCTAATCCATTATTCCGCATCGGCGGCCGCCAATGATCCTCGATACGTTCGATTTTCAAGAGAGAGTCCCCGCGCCGATCACACGTAGATTACCGCGCGATATATCCTCGAGAGGCGAGCCGGGCCACTGAATTGGCCTCGGCGAGAACACGAAATTCGCTCCACTTACTTTATGGAAAACAGTTCGGCCGCTAGAGCGAACAATACCGGAATAAATTGCGACCCGCTCAGCCGGGGAGAGAGGGGTACGCGGTACGCCTTACTTCCTCAGAATATTTAAATTGTAAGGCGAAGAGAGCCTCGCGAAACCCGGTTTCGCAAGCCGGTCATAAAGCTGAATATCGCTCGGGGAGCTCGAAGAGCGATATTCTCGCGGGCTTACGCTCGCCGGAACGTAAACGGATTTTAATACAGGCGGGTGGGTGTTTCCCGTTAGGAATACGAGCATTGTCTTTGTGACTGCGCCCCGGC